AGTTGGTAGGTGAGATTTTTTTGTATATTGTCTGAATAGATAATACTTTGCATCACAGATGTGCAACTATATGCATATCGCATACAAACTCGGTGTTGTTTTAAATATTGATTTAGAATATGCAAAAGGAAATCATTTTAGTTTTTTTCGTAAAAAATAGCAAGAACATAGGAATTAGGAAGAGATGTTGGCTATTTCATCCCTTAAGTCTGTTCTGTCGTTAAATTAAATCATGGTTCATCTGTGTTTTAAGTCGAACTACTCACCATAGTTTCATATCTTTTTAAACCTATAACAATCTCAGCTTGATATTTTGAAATGTATTACTTGAACTCAAGTTTAATTAATATTTCCAGAAAAATTTAGATTAGTCTTTATCAAAATTATTGCTTGCTGAACTGAAAAAAAATTGAAAATGCATCTTTTGGTTTCACAATTTTTCAAATATTTTGAAAGTTTATCTTGCAGAAATTATTCCAACATATTTTCACTTTTCATATCTCTCAAAGTATACTAGAAACTAATAAAGTAGAAGCTTCCATTTAAATTTCCAACATTTGTTGCAAAGATTATAGGCTGTGATCAATATGTTTTAAATCAAGTAAATTATTTTAATTTTACTTTGAGTCAACCAAATAACAGTAGTTTATAAAGTGCACACTATACTTAAAATGCATCAATTGCCCAGCAACTTAGCTTTTTTGTCATAATTTTCATGCAGGGATGAAAATGATAATAATCAGGTTGGATGAAGATTAAAGATTAAATTTTGTTAGGTCCAGCCTGTTGGTGAGTCTTTTGTGTTCTGCATATACAACCCACAGTGAAGTTCAACCTTGCCTATTTTGCAAAACACGGCTTGGGACTTTTTTTGTCAAGAAAACTTGCATTTATATGGAACGTTTCATGACCACCGGATGCTTCAAAGCACTTTACAACAAATGGAATACGTTTTCAAGTAATGTAACTTCAATGCAGGAAATTTGTAAGCCAATTTGCACACAGCAACCTCACACAAGGTAAAAACATGGAAACTCGGAGCCAGAGTAAGCCATTAGCCCTTCAAGTCTTCTCTGTCATTTGATATGATCATGGCTGATCATAGACCTCCCCAAGTTACTGCAAGCAAACTCTGTCACATCAGCCTTCATGCAGTTTACAGGCATAAAGGCAAATCACCAATGCCATACTCACCTGTGCCACTCCATTTAAAATGATTCTCACGAAAACGAGGTACTAACACAAGTAGTTGAGAATTAATATCAAATGCAGTAACAGAGCACTTAGTGCAGCCCTGCAACTGCACTGGTCCCATTATAATGACATATAATTCCTTCTCACCACTGTTTGCAATTAATGAGGGAACTGCTTCAGTTATGTTTTTCAAAAAAAGTGGTGTCCAAGTTGAGCCAAATCTGTTTAATAAATTTCTGGAGTGGAGAATGGTTCCCATTTGAATATTTACTGGGGCCTGAACTGAACAAAATTGAAATGATAACATGAAAATGTTTCACCCAACCATTTTGCATTGTCTTCCACGTGAGCCAAGGTCCTAATCCCATTTGCCTCCTCTTTACCCCTAATCCTTTATTATATTTTCTTTCAAATACCTCAAGAAAACAATGTTTAAATCAAATTTTAGCAGCATGGTGTGAGCTGCTTTGACAAATAGTTAGGCTACATTAGTACAGGAGAGTTTCAGCAAGACTGAGATAAATATTTAACAAGCAGAATCATGAATATTTCATTAACTGTTTGTTATCCAACTAGAACAGAGATTATGAGACTTTTAAAACCAGCTCATTTCAAACATCAGCCTAGTGAGTCAAATCTAGTCCTCTGCTCTTTATTTATTGGACTGCCAAGCATTTTTAGCAGCTCCATCTAAAAAAAATGGGTCTGACAGATCATCTTTCATGCAATGTAATTTATGAAGCCCTGAGTACTAAGGAACATTTGTATGTGGAGATTGAATGTGTTTGTATATTGCATTAGATGATTATATTTTAAAAATGCAGAACTCATGAAAGATCATACATTTTAGGCCTTGCATTCTTTTATTAATTTATGTCACTGACAGAGTTAGCACCCGTTGTCCATTTCTAATTAGCCTTGAGATGGTAACGGTAAAAAAATTAAAAAATAAGAGAGAGTTGTGGTTATCTGTCTTCTCGCACCAGGGCAGTCCGTGTGCTGAAGGTACTTCCATAGTACAAATAGGCAGGATGTTGCAGGATTTTGACCCAGCAATGATGAAGGAACAGTCTTCTGTTTCTGAGTCAGGATGTTTGATTAGTATTATCAGGAAAAGATTTGAGGAAATTGCCGTGATTGGATTTGTCCTGCTTTTTGTAAACAGAACACACCTGGGCAATTTCCCACTTGAATAAGTGTGAGAGTTGTAACTGTACTGGAACAGCTTGGCTAGGGGCAAAGCTGGGAGCACAAATTTTAAGCATTATAGCTGCAATACTGTCGATGATTTTCAGCCATGGCACTGGGTCCAAAATCCACACCTCTGTATCATTAGTCCAGTAACATTACCACTAGACTACCATACTGCTAATTATCTCTAATAACACAGGAGACCACTGGTTAGGTGGCCTTATGCACTGTAGTGCTTTCTCCCATATGTAATTATTTACTTATTATATCCAAATGCAGACTGAATATATAATAGTATTTTCATTCATTTTGTGAAAAGAAACCATTATGTTTGTGGATGGATGTAGAATGCATTTATCATCAATGTGTACCTTGTACATTACAAGAATAGGTCCATGCATTGGCTAGGAGTTACAGCTCCAGAAAATCACATACATATTTTTACCCCCTGTTCATTTTTATTTTGATTCTGTTCATAGGATTACACCCTGTAATTCAGCTCCAGGTACAAGATATAATCTAATGAAGAGGTACAGATGTTCTGTTTTGGAAAAAATGGATAACCAAAAGTGACTTGTATCTCATGAAATCTCATGAAGTGTATCATGGGTTGAAGTGGGGAATGATGGATACCTGAGGGTAAGTTAAAGTCTATAATCTAATAATGAAGTTCAGAAAGTTTATGTGAGGAGCAGTTGATGCTTTGGACAATTTAGAGGTGATAAATTAGTAAGATTCTTTCAGCTCAGTGTTTTATATCTGAGAGTGATTGTCATTTATTCAAATATTTCCCATTTATCTATAAAGTGGTAGAAAACTTGCATTCAGATGACACAGTAATTTCAGCTGATGGCAGTGAGCCATATTGGAAGATTTTTTTTTAAAAGAAAGAAGATTTTTTTTCATTGTACTAGAATCAGTTACGTGGAAGAAATTGATGCTGTTATTTTGAGAATGGCAGAAAACGTAAGAAGATCCTGATGTTTGGTGAGTCCTGCCTTATTCTGTGTCATTATCCAATAGCAGCACAGGTGGTCAACATCAGAGTTAACGAAGTAGTACTGAACGGTTGTCAGTGCACGACAGTAATTCATTCTCAGGATGCAAATGGATTATTGCCTTCTCTGCTAATCCAGGCTGTCACTTTTGTTGAGCAAGATGTGCATGTTAATATAGGCTATCTATAATGACTGCTCTGTTTTCTATAAGCTCCCATTCTTTTTAACTGTTTTCAAAACCACCTGAGACACTTGTGAGCAGACTAATTGATGACAGCATCATTCTCCTCCTGGAAATTGAGTGACACCAGGGATGAATCTCCTGGAGTCTTCAACTAATCACAAATTTGTGACAAGCAACATGTGAAACCGTAGAACTATAGCAAAGTTACAGCACCAAAAGAGTCCATTGTGCATGCACCAGCTGTTAGTTTTTTCAGCTGACTCATTCTAATCCCACTTCCCAGCTCCTGGTCCATGGCCCTGCAAGTTCTAGTGCTTCAGGAGCAGATTCAGGTTCTTTTCAAATGAGTTGAGGGTTTCTGCCTCAACCACCAAATGGGGCAGAGAATTCCAGACACCTACCACCTTCTGGGAGAAAAGGCTTTCCTGTGTCCACTCTAATCCTTCCACATTTAATCTTGTCCTGACACTGATCTCTCTAGGAGGGGAAACAGATATTCCCTGTCCCCTTTTATCCAAGTCCCTCATTATGTTGTACATCTGGATTAAGTCACTCCTCAGCCTCATCTGTTATAAGGAAAATAACTCTATCCTACCCATTCTTTTCTCATTCCTGCAACTTTAAAGCTGTGGCAACATCCTCCTAAATCTTCTCAGAACTCTTTACAGCAGTTATGTCCCTCTTGTAATGTGCCAACCAGAACTGTACACAAAACCCCAATTATGGCCTATCCAGTAGGTTATATACTCACAGCATTATAACACTGTTCTTGTATTCAATACCTACATATTTTGTTTTATTCCCCTCCCATAAAGCTGAACGTATGAAATATAGGAAATGACTTCATACTGTGACCAGGAATGCGTTGTTTTTGTACCATCGTAGTGTTGAGTACAGAGGCATTCAAAGGTCCCAATATGAACACTCATTCTGTGCTTCTCGCCAACACGGTATTTAGTTCTGCACACAAGACGGTTTGATGAGAACCCTGGAAACCCATTTTAATGAGTGGAACTACCCACATCCAACTGACCTGAGTATTCCACTGGATATCAACCCAGAATTCTGAGCCAAAGCTCTGGCCTCCACTTGCCGGAGCTATCTGGAGTTAGATTTGCACCTGGTACTTTCTGTCTTAGTCAGAATGCAAAAACGCTAAGGCATGCTCTAAGTATACATGATTTGTAATTGCAGACATATGACAGAAGTAGAATTAGAATTAAAATTAGGTTTATAGTCACGTGTACACGAGTACAGAGTACAGTGAAAAGTGTACAAAGTTGCCATTCCTGACACCATCTTAGGAACAAAATCTTAGGTACAAAATAGAAAAATAAAGAAATAAGTTAAAAGTTCAACTTTGCAGTTCTTCTTTGTATAAAGTAGAAAAATTAGGTAAGTTAAAAGTTCAACATTACAGTCCTTCTAAAGCCATGGGTCTTCAGTTGCTCGTCATTGACTGCGATCCAGGCTCACCAGCCGCTTCTCCGCCGACTGTCAAATTCCTACCGGCCCCAGGCACTGCCACACTCCAGGCTCCGGACTCCAATGCCGTCATTGCTACTGCCTCCATAACGGAGCTCGCTTCAGCAAGTAGGCAAAAAAAACTTAAAAACTAAAACATAAAAAAGGGTTGGGAAAAGAAGGGAAAAAAGGAAAAGTGAACGGAATGAACGAGTCCTGTGCTCAGGAACCAGGATGCTGCCACCATCTTGATTTTACGTGTCACCAAGTACCAGAAATTTCTAAAATTATTGTATTCTAGAAAGACCTGCATTTATATAATGCCTCACTACATCTTGCTCTCAAATGACCAAAACACTTTTAGAAGGAACTATAATGTGGGGGAGAAAAGTACCAGCTATTTAGGATACAGAGACAGGCCTTAAAAACAACTAGCTTGACAATAAACATGCACTTGTCTGTTGTTGGTTGAGAGGAATGTTGGTTATGATACAAGAGAACTTTTTTTCAAATCACACATGAGGCTTTTAACACCCACCTAAGTTGGCAGGGGAAGTGTCCATGTAACAGCAAAGGCTGGCATTTCCATTAATGTAGTACTGCTGTAGGAGACTACAACATTAGTCCAACTTTTGTGCTCAGGGCACCATTAAGTCAAACTAGCACTTTGGTTTCACATTGTACTGTATAGGCCTTTGAGGATCCAGCCTAACACTGCAAGGGACACAAAGGATATCTGCCATACCCCCAAATGTGTGGCATGCTGGCCAAGCAGAATGTGGTTTCACCTTGGAGCCAGACATCCCAGCTCTGAGTAAATAGGCCTTGTGGTTGTCTCAGGAAGGAAGCTGGCTAAGGGAGTAAACCCTAAGAGAAATTCTGGAGTGGAGTCCCAGAGATAATTATTTGCCATCCATCCAACAGTGTCCTGGCAACTCCTGCAGCTTCTATCCTTTGAAAGTACTGGCAACATTGAGGGTGGTCATGATATTTAGGCAACTCAGGACGTACATACTACATGCCCAGATCTGCCCTTAGAGAGGACACTCCAGCTTTGTGGTTCACCTGTCGTCTTCCAAGATGGATAAACGGCACTGACAGATATGTAGCCAATATTAATTTTTGTTTGGTTTTGTAGGGTGTACTGTAAGTGCTGTACTGTTTATCCAGTGATTGTTATTTCATACAAAAGTCTCACTTGGTGATAGTGGTTAGTTGCTGCTGCAATCAGGAATTGTCCAACCTTGTACTGTAATATTTCACGTTATTTAATGTGAAAAAAATGGCCTAATTATCTGCCAATGTGATTGAACTACAAAGAACCACACAGTATGTTATTTCCTAACCCAATCTAATCTGTGAAGACTCAACAATTGTGATCTATAGTTTTTGTAATTTCTGTAGAGAAATTCTGTCTTAGCTATTGTAGTAATTGGAATGAGGGCCAGGTGGATCTCATTGACTATGAGATCGCTGATTGGCCAATGTTAACAACCTCGACCAAGGATTACATAGTCAATGAGATTCACCTGGACCTCATTCCAAACAGTACATCTATAAATTTCTCTTTGAAACTAGATGAATTCCTGAAAAGAATGGGAGGTGACCTTATTGAAATATGTAAGATCCTGAAGGGCCTGGATAGGGTACATGCTGAAAGGATTTTCCACTTGTTTGGGGATTCAAGAACTAAGGGTTGCAGTTTAAAAATAAGCCATGCACAGTTAGTCTGGTGGAGGAATGGGTGGTTGAAAGTGAGGGAGGCAAGATGTTACAGGCAAAAGGGAGAGTGGTGAAGCATTAGCCTTGGTGGGACATTGGTGCAGGAGCACAGATGAGTGAATGTGTGGTAGCTACACTGTCTTTATCAGATCATTACCTGTGTTTTGTGTGTTCATTGGTGAATTTTATTATTGTTTTTGGAGCTATAAAACTCCATTCTCTTTTACCCTTAGAATTAGCTCTCCTACATTTTTTTGGATCTGGTTAACTAAATTTAATAGAAATGTGATAGTTATGTGCTAAAATGGAAGAAAAGCTATTTGTTGTGACTGGCTGAGATGGGGTTAAAGTAAGGGGGGGAGCCATGGTCCTGCCTCACTTGACTGTAACACAAGGAAGAATTGAAACATGGCTCAGTCTAATACAGTTGGAGTAGGTTTCAGGTTAAAGCTGATATAACAAAGTCCAAACCCTGTGTTCAATGTATGGTCATCACACAACTGTAGCACTCAGTACTCCTGGATTCAGCCATATTTTAGTTATACTGTTCCTGGTTTGACTCCAATAGTAAGCAATCGCTACTGTTTATATAAACCATCGATGGCTGTTGACTGTATTAGCTCAATGTAAATTGGAGATAATCCTTTTGTTCACATTCCTAGATCCTCTGATCTTGATTCAGTTCTCAGTTATTGGAGCTAAGTCTGGCTGTGTACTTTCAAGGAACATGAACAAGAGTGACTGGATGCGGCCAGTTTTAACTCATTAATTTTCTTGCATAACCCATCTCTTGTGTAGGATATTTCAGATACCAAGAGCTTGATTTCCCAATATTTTGAGTCAGCTTTTTTCTTGAGTTTTCCTTTGACCTGCCTTAATGTTTCTGCAATATACAGTTTTGATTTATGTTTTTTGTACACAGTATGTTGTGTTTGGCATACTTCATGGTTCAAGTCAATTGATACACCATGAGAAGCATTTGTCATTTCTGGGAAAGGTCAATAGAGGTCAAGCAGAGGACCTGTTGAGTGGGAAACCACGTGAGTATTTCCTCATTCGAAAGAGCAGGGGAAATGATTTTGCATGCAGGGTAGTGTAAGTTACCATGTTTGATGTATTTTTAGTAACAAAACTAATTTACCAGCTATGTAATGCCATAATCTTTATCCCATGATCAATATGGTGATTAATCCAAATGATCCTATCATCCCTATATTTTCAGTGTAAATGTCAATTAGAATAATTGGGACTTTTGCTGATGGTGTACAAGAGATGGTATTGGATGTTGTATAAGGCAGTTGGCCTATGAGAATTTATACATAGCCTCAGTATAACCGAGATATAACTTGCTATCACTGGGAGAGCTAGGGTATTGTCTTTTGTCACTGTCCTAGTCTGTTGGCCTTATCTCCAATGTTAACAGCCATGCAACTTAGGTTAGCGTGGTATCTCTTGTCAGTTTGGTATGGCTATTTAGTCTTACTCCACTGTAACTTGTCATCGTACTGCTATACGATTAGCCTTTCTTGATACTTAATGGGCCAGTTCTACCAAGCTTTTATGTTTTGTATGTATGACAATGTCACTCATTTTACATTATTGGCTAAAGTTAAAATTACCCTGACTGATTCAATGAAGCAGATCTTTGGGTTCTGTCAAAGTTTAATGCAAAGTATCAAATTTCTATAACTGATCAAGCCAGAAATTATTCTTGGTTTAGCTCATTATCATAACTGTCTGCAATTTGATCATGTGAAAACAATGGATGGACTAGTCCAGGTAAAATTTAAAGGTATGCAGCCATTCAAAGAAAGAGCTTTTGAGAGCACCAGAAGTTGTTACATTCTTTAGAGGGATTCAAAATGATTTATAATGAGGGATCATAGGAACAGGATGTTGTATGTTGTGGTTAGTTCACCAGAACTATCTAGGTGCTTTGTGTAGATTCGCTGTTGCCAATTCTTTTTATTGGTATGATTTAAATTACTGCTAGCAAGTGGGGAAGGATACTCATAAAAAATCTTCAGCAGAAGATAGTCTTAATCTTGATGAACAGTAAAAGTTTATCATATAGTACTTGTTATTTCCATTTCATCTGAACTATGTAATAATCTCTTGTGAGGTTCTTAAGCTCAAGTTAAGAGTAAGTACATATTACTATTAGTAACAGGCACACATAAAAACACTAGTTAGCTCCTTTCATGGTCAGTCATCGAGTCATACAGCACAGAAACAGACAAGGTCCAACCAGTCCATGCTGACCATAATCCCAATCTAAACTAGTCCCACCTGCCTGAGCTTGACCCATATCCCTCCAAACATTCATTCGTGTACATATTGTTATAAAGCAGAGGATGACACCCCGTCTGAGAACCAAAACCGAAACACCCAAAGAGGAGCGCCTCACCCTATAATCTGCTAAAAGGAGTGTGAAAAGGGTGTAACCTGTCTTTCAGTAACTTCTAGTGGTTAAATCAAATAAAGCCCTGACACTCCCTTTACAATCAACAAGTAACAATTTATTTAACTAATTCTAACAGTGAACAAATTAACTATTAACAAACCAAACAAATCCCTTCTAGCTACTAACTATTCCCAAATAACGCAGGATTATAATGGTATGCTGTTCCAATAAATACAGTCCCATTTATATAACAAAACAATAGAATTTAGTGTCTCGAAATTACAGCCAGGTTACATCTTCCAGAATTTTCTGCGTCTTCTCTGTCGATTCTTCTGTCAGGAAGGGAGTGTCTAGGGGTGCCGGGGTGCCATGGTACCATTGTGAATAGATGATGCTTTCTCTAACAGCTGAGAGCTGTTAAGTCTAGCAAATAACAGTTCGCTCTGCCGATTTTCCAACTGGCCTCTTCTTTAAATCTCTATCAATTTCTTATGATCGGATTGGTCCTAAGTTGTCAAACCTATCCGATTCAAATTTGATAGGTCTTTTGTATCTAAGTGCCTGGTTCAAATTGATTGGCTAAATTCAAAAACCTTATGGCTTGGTAAAAATGCTGCTTAGCCTGCTAACAGTATGGCCTTACGATACAGATGTTTTAATTTGGGTACTCTCTGTACTTGCAAACTTTCAAGCTTCTCACAGACATCTCTATGCATAGAGAAAGCACAATCTTTTAAAGGGGCCACACAGCTTTCTCCCCCCCCCACCCCCCCAGCATTTTACAGTACCAATATTTTACAAACAACAAATTCTAATGTCCTGCCTCCCAATCCACAAACATTCTACCCAACTTCGCAACAATACCTAAATGCCTTTTAAACGTTGTAACTGTACTCCCATCTACCACTACCTTTGGAAGTTCATTCCACACACAAATCACTCTGTGTAAAAGAAATTACCCCTCATGTCTTTTTTTTAAATCTTTCTCCTCTCACCTTAAAAATGCCTATTCTTGAACTCTCCCACCCTAGGGAAAAGTCACCTGCCATTCACTTTATCTATTCCCTTCTGATTTTACAAACCTCTAAGGTCACCTCTCAACCTCCTATTTTCCAGTGAAAAAAGTCCCAGCCTCTCCTTGAGTTTATAACTCAAACCCTCCATTCCTGGTAAATCTCTTCTGAACTCTCTTCACCCTAATAATATCCTTCCTATAACAGAGCAACCAGCATTGGACACAGTATTCCAGAAGAGGCCTCACCAATGTCTTCTACAACCTCAACATGATGTCCCAAATCCTATACTCAATGGTATGAACAATGAAGGCAAGAATGCTAAAACACCTTCTTAACCATGCAACCTATATGTTACGCAAACTTCAGAGATTTATGTACCTGGACCCTAGATCTCTCTGTTCTATAACACTCCCCACAGCCCTACTTTTAATTGTATGAGTCCTGCCTTTGGTTTACAAAATGCAACCTTGTATTTATCCAAATTAAACTCCATCTGCCATTCTTCAGCCCATTAACTTAATTGATCAAGATCTTTTTATAATCTTAGATAACCTTCTTCATTGTCCAATATACCACCAATTTGGTGTCATCTGCAAAATTATTAACCATGCCTTCTATATTCTCCTCTAAATCACTTATAAAAATGGCAAATAAAAATGGACCCAACAGTGGTCCATGCGGAACACTGCTGGTCACAGGCCTCCAGTCCAAAAAACAAAACTCCATCACTCTCTGTCCTTTATAGGTATTTTCTGATTCACCCTGTTCAGAGATGTTATGCACATCTGGAGTAGGTGGAATTTAAACTTGGGCCTGCTGGTTTGAGAGGTAGGGACAAAACTGCTGCAACACAAAAGCCTTCAGTCTTCTATACCCTGATGGACAGAGGTTATTTTGCTGATGTTAGTTAAACCGTTCAGTTACTAACTACTTTATACAGCACAGGAAAAGGTCATTCAACCCTTTAAGGCTGTTCTGTCATCTGTAGTTAATCTGTAACCTAATTCCATACATCTGTCTTGGATCCATATCCTTTACTTTTGACTAGCAAAATCCATTAGTCTCAGATTTAACATCATTGTGTTAGCACCTATTGCATTCTACATGAGGAAGTTCACATTTCTACCTTCATTTGAAGGGATAATCTTTCTAAAAGTGTGGAAAATATTTTCCTCCTTGTCTTTTTCCCTGCTTTATTACGGACCCAAATGGAGAACCAATAACCTACATTTAGAACATGCTCAGTGGTTATGATTCTGTGAAGCAATACAATCTTAACAGAACACTAAAAGAACTAGTGTTGAATTACCAAAGGAATTTACAAGGAACATCACTAGCAGGCTTTTCCTTTATACAGAAAATTGCCTTCAATTGGCCAGTGATTGCAGAGAGGCAGAGTGGATGTCATTTGACACAGCTCAATGATTGATTGAGAGAAATATATCTAAGTATATACAGTACATAACAGGCAGCAGTGAAGATTTACCAGTAGCACTGGACTAGC